CAATATCCCTGATGAACATAGATGGTAAAATTCTCAACAAAATATTATCGAATGGAATCCAGCAATACATGAAAAAGATCATATACCATGATCAAGTGGGATTTATACTGGGATGCAAGGCTGGTACAATATTTGCAAATAAATAAACGTGATACATCACATAAACAGAATGAAGGATACAAATCACATGATCATATCAATAGATGCAGAAAAGGCCTCTCACAAAATCCAGCACCAATTTATGATAAAACTCTCAACAAAGCAGGAATAGAGGGAACATACCTCAACGTAATAAATGCCATATATGACAAACCTACAGCCCACATCATACTCAACGGGCAAAAACTATAAACGTTTCCCTTAAGAACAGGAACAAGACAGGATGTCTGCTTTCATTACTGTTATTCATCATAGAAATGGAAGTCCTAGCTACAGCAATCAGACAAGAAAATATAAAAGGCATCCTAATTGGAAAGGGGGAAATAAAATTGTTATTATTCACAGATGATATAATATTGTATGTAGAAAAACTAAAAACTCCACCAAGAAACTACTAGATTTAATAAATGAATTTGGCAAAGTAGCTGGATACAAAATCAAAATCCAGAAAGCAATGGCATTTTTATACACCAATAATGAACTCTCAGAAAGAGAAACTAAAAGAACAGTCCCATTTACTATTTCAACAACAACAACAAAAGATACCTTGGAATTAACTTAACCAAGGAGATAAAAGGCTGATACTCAGAAAACTACGGGACATTGAAAAAGGAAATAGAGGAAGTGGAAGCATATACTGCGTTCATGGATTGAAAGAATTAAATCATTAAAATGTCCATACTACCCAAAGCAATCTATAGATTCAATGCAATTCCTATTAAAACACCAATGACATATTTCACAGAGCTAGAACAAATATTCCAAAAATTTGTATGGAGCAAAAAAGACTCCAAATAGCTATAGAAATCTTGAAATAAAAGAATAAACTTGGGGAGGGGATCACAATATTGGGTATCAAACTATACTACAAAGCCATTGTAATCAAAACAGCCTGGTACTGGCACAAGAACAGGTTATATCAATGGAACAGAACAGAGACCCCAGACATTGACCCATACCATTATGGTCAGCTAATATTTGACAAAGGAAGCAAGAGCATACAATAGAGTAAAGAAAATCTCTTTAATAAATGGTGCTGGGAAAATTGGACAAGTACATGCAAAAAAATGAAACTAGATCACTAACTTACACCATACATAAGCATAAACTCAAAATGGATAAAAGACTTAAATGTAAGTTGTGAAACCATAAAAGTACTAGAAGAAAACATAGGCAACAAAATCTTAGACATCTCATGTAGCAGAATTTTCACCAATACACCTTCTAGGGCAAGAGAAACAAAGGACAAAAAATAAACAAATGGGACTACATCAAACTAAAGAGTTTCTGCACAGCAAAGAAACCCTCACTCACTGTATGGGAGAACATATTTGCCAATGATAAATCAGATAAGGGGCTAATTTCCAAAATATATAGAGAATTCATACAACTCAACAAAATGAAGACAAATAACCCAATTAAAAAATGGGCATAAGACCTGAATACACACTTTTCAAGAGTATATACAGATGGCCAAAAGACATATGAAGAAATGCTCAACATCACTGATCATCAGAGAGATGTAAATGAAAACGACAGTGAGGTATCATCTCACATTTGCCAGAATGGCTACCATCAATAAATCAACAACCAACAAGTGCTGGCGAGGGTGTGGAGAAAAGGGAATTGCTGGTGGGAATGCAGATTGATGCAGCCACTATGAAAAAGTATGGGATTTACTAAAAAAATTAAAAAAATGGAACTGCCTTATGATCCAGTGATTTCACTTCTGTGAATTTATCAGAAGAAACCTGAAACACTAATTTGGAAGAATATATGCACCACCATGTTCATTGCAGCGTTATTTACAATAGCCAAGATTTGGAAGCAGCCCAAGTATTCATCAATAGGTGAGTGGATAAAACTGCTACAGAATGCCACTTGGCTATAAAAAAGAAGATAATTTTACCCTTTTCGACAGTACGGGTGGACCTGGAGAACATTATGCTGCCTGAAATAAACCAGTCAGAGAAAGACAAGTACCATATGATTTCACTTATATGTCGAATCTAATGAACTATCTGAACTAACATGCAAAATAGAGACAGACTCATAGACAGAGAGCAGGCTAACAGCTTGGTGGGGGGAGGGGTCTTCCGGGGGGAAGTTCTCACTAAAATGTCTAATAAAAATGACATAACAATGTTGGCAAAATTGTGGGGAATTTGGAACTTATACATTATGGTGGGAATGTAAAATGGTGCTGCCATTTAGAAAATGTTTTGATATTTCCACAAAAATAGGGTTACCATATAACTCAGGTACTTAATACCACTAATTAATTCATTAAAATGCAAACGAAACTATTCTTGGTTATCACTATATCTCCACTCATCTAGCTTAACTTCAAGAGTGACAATGCCAACTGTTGGCAAGAATAGGGAGCAACTATTACTTTCATATATTGCTTACGGGAAGTACTTGGTACAACCACCTTGCAGTGCTTTTTGGTGTATAGTAATATTAATTATATGTAAAACCTATGACCTAGAAATTCTCCTCTTTGATGTGTATACACTCAGAAATTTAAGTGCTTATGTCAACCAAAAGATAGGTCTAAGAACGTTTACAGCCCTGGCTGTTGTGGCTCAGTTGGTTGGGTCTCATCCCATGAACCAAAAGGTTGCCGGTTCAATTCCCAGTCAGGGCAGATGCCCATGTCCCCAGCTTGATCCCCAGTAAGGAGGATGCAGAAGCCAGCCGATCGATGTCCACTCTCACAGTGATGTTTCTCTCTCTCTCTCCCCCTCTCCCTTCCTCTCTCTCTAAAAATCAATAAAAATATTTAAGAAAGAATGTTTATAGCAGCATTATTTTAAAAAACATTGAAGTAGAGATAACACAATGCCCATCAATAGTAAATTTGATAAATAATTTATGTTATGGTAATAAAATGGAATACTAGGAAAAATTTATCTGCGCTGATAGAGATCAAAATGCTGGTGACCTTGTTGGAGAATATTGACTGGGGCCTGCTGGGATGCTGGAAATGTTTTATATCTTGATCTGGGTTGTGGTTAAACATACGTATGTGTGTTTATGATTGTGTGTGCGTGTGTGCACGCACACACACTTAAATATTTTTTGAGCTGTGCATGTATTTGTATATTTTACTGTGTGCATTTTATAATAGTAATAAAAAATAGAATAGGTTTATGCATCTGTTTCATTTTGGAAACATAAACACAGGATATCTATTTATAAAAACCTTACTTCTTAAGTGAGAATAGGGTTGAAGAGCTAGGGGAGGAGAAGGTCATTGTCCTCCCCTAGCTCTTCAACCCTGTATATATTGAGTATATTTTTCATGAGTATATATTTTCATGTAGTTTTAATTTTTGAATCACATTAATGCCTTAAATATTAAATAATAAAATAATATCAATATTTTGAAAACATAATTATGAAAACATAATTTTTATGAGATGGTGGCAGAAACAGATGTTGACAAGTAATAGATGTTGATGAGTAATTTCATATTTTATTTTACAATTACTAGTCTCCCTTGGAGTTATGTTGAAGTCATTTCATTAGTAGTTGGTTAACAAGCTTTAAGAAGAAGGCTGTGAGCTGAAACAGAAGAGCTGACCTCACTCCTTCATATGTTCTCTTTCTTTGCTTTGAGAATCATGGATGATCGCAGTCTGTGACCGTGGAACCACAAAATGGAATTCTTCCTGGATCTCTAAGTCACCACATGGAGCACAGCTACCCTGAAGAATTATTCCACTGGTCTAGGAGTTTTTGAGAATGAGAAATAATCCTTTTTGATTTGGTCACTTGTTTGTCGCCTCAGCATAGTCTAGCACATTCTGACCAATATAGATGTAAAATTGAGGTAATTTGTTGGGAGCGAAGAGAATAGTGGTTATATTAGGGGAATTGGGGAGCGTGAGATAAAGGTTCCCAGTATTCTTTAGAATGAGAATGAGAGCATCTGTAGAATATTATGGCTAGAAGAAAACAAGAGAAATTAGTCTGTTCTTTTCATTTTTAAAGACAAAGAGACTATGACCAGAGCAACTAATCATTAGTCTTGACCCAATCATTGGGTTAAATTCACATAACAAGTTAGTAGCAGAGAAAGGATTGTAAGCCGGTTTCTGGGACTTTGAGAACAGTCTCAGAGGCTAAACATTTACTTAGTGTTATTTAGGATATTCTAAACTTCCTTCAGTTTCCTGGTGATGGTGTTGATGGGAATAGCAGCTATCTGAGCCCCCTTTCAATTTCTCCCCAAAACAATCTGAAGTCAGAACACAATCCCCGTTTCATTTCCGCTTTACTGTCCTGCCACCTAGTCAGTCCATCATCCATGGGTGACTTGAAAAAATCAGGAAATATCTTTTACAAGAAATGGTATTTTCACTTTCTACACTATGCCTCTTATTGTTTGGACTCTCTTTTCTCCCCTATATATAAGAATAAGAATAAAAAATGCCCGTGGCATTGTTTGAATGAATATCTAGGGGGCCATGTCATTATGTTACAAATTTATTCTTTTTGATTCATAAAAATCTCTTTCTGCTTCAGCATTGTCATTATTTGGTAACTTCCCGCTTGTGTATTTCTCAGGGTTTTGTTGGCTGTATCTTATCCTTACCTCCCCTCCCCCATCTCCCCATTTCTGAGCTATGGCATCGCTAAAGCAGATTACTTTCTGACCTCTCTTTTCCATCTCCACTCTCACCCTGGAGAATAAAGGAGGTCATTGTCACATCATCATTGGGCAGCCAATCAGGTGGGCACCTCCCTTCAATGACCTCCTTGCCCCAGAGGAGTTCTTAGGCCGCTTCAATGGAAGGAGGGAGCCAAGAAGAAGGCCTAGCATAAGCCTGAAGATGATAATTACAACATGGATTGTGTACATTCTCTCCCGGCAAAATGCAGGGTTCCCCTTCCCACCAAAAACCAGTTCGGTAAGTGAAGTTAGTGGTAGCCATGCAGAATTTATCTTCTCATTTATCTTCTCCCTTCTGAGCCCTCTGCTGCACTTCTAGAGGGAAGACCTTACAATGTATAACTGAGTAAAGATGGAGGAGGGGGGCCAGGTCTCTAGGTATTTTGAGAGCATCAGCATATCCATTTGTTGCAGGACGTTGAAGTTGTGGAAAGCGAGGCTGTGTCTGTAGTACAGCACTGGTTGAAAAAAGTGAGTAAAACCCCTTTATGATTCAGGGTGCCCAGAATTCTAGAGCGCTGGCTTCAGTGGGTGCAGGAAGTCCAGGCCTCCCTCTCCCTAGAATGGGAAACTCAAGTTTCTTGGCAAATACAGACTAGAGCTGTGTCTAACACACCAGATGTCCTAGAGGATGCTGGGGCTTGGGTCTTTGTAAGAGATGTGTTGGAATCACCACTAGCCCTGTCCTGCTTCTCAGGGATACTGGAAGCAGGGTTTCAGGTATGTCGCCCCAGCTACAGGGTGTCTCAGGAATACCTTGGGGTAAGGCCAAGGACTTAGTGAGTTCCCTGGGATCCCACGGGAAGGTAGCAATAGGAGAGCTCCTTGCGGGACCCGTGAGGTGCAGAGCTTGTATGTGTGGGTAGGTGGCATGTGTGTTGTGATGGAGCGGAAGAAAAGGGGAAAGAAAAAACAGAAAGAACTGGGGGCAGATACCAAGTGACACTTTGAGAGGGAAATTACTCACCTTTCAGACCGAAGAAGAGGCTTCCCAGAATATAATGCAGAAGATGTCCAGCAGCGGCCCTCCCGTCCACGGCCAGGATGTGCATGTGTCCAGAGATGTGGTAGCTGAGAGTTTGAGACAGTCATCGT